CCCCCCCACATCAGTCCTTTCATGTCTCCACTTCAGTACAACTGTCGAATTTCGACCTGTGTTTCCTGCAAGAAACGCAACACATAATGTGCTATGAAACAATTGGCACAAAATTAAACAAATTAAGCAAAGGAGGGTGGGCCAGGAGTATGTATGTGAGAAAGAACAGCTCGGTGTGGTGCTGAAGAAAAAGGCTAAGGGAGTAAGGGGGGGGGGGAGAGTAATAAGTAATTGGAGCAAAAGAATTTTTAAATAAAAATAAAAGATGAACGAAGTAAATATACTCTGACACAGAAGGTGGCAGTCCACCGCTGAAAAAACTTATTAACAATTTCGTCAATATTGACCCTTAGTAAATATACATTCATTCTGATCATTTCGTTAAAAGAAAATAATTTTAAAATTACGGCATAATACGGAAAAGTAAACGTACATATTGGAAAACACAACAATTTTAGCTTATGACTTCACGAATATTTTAAAGATCATTTGTCTTATTACTATTTTTTAAAGATCGTCCATATTGTTATTTCTTTCACTTGTCTTGAGCTCATGAGATATTTCCCTTCAAGTCATTATGAAAATGATGGTAAATAGAGCAGTTCAAAATCTTAAATAAATACGTTTTCAAAGAATACATTTAAAAAAGAAAAATCAATCGATCTATTAAACATTTTTATATCGTCGAGAGCCTGTCAAATTCAGTATCTATAATAGTGCGCTCACGTGTAATATTAGCTTAGTTAAGTTTAGAATATTGTATTCATTTTGATTGTATAGTTAATAAAATAAAAATACGGTAATGTGTAAATTTCAGCAATTTCATTTATTTTCAAAGGAAATTTGAAATCCTCTGTTGCATGCTTGTCTTCGTTTTCTGAAATGGTTTTTTTCAACATTGTACTTTTCTTTAAAATTTTGGCAAGTATTTCTCTATGCCTCAATTTCATGTATTTTCAGTCAACTATATTTTTATTGCAAGTTTTCTGAATTATCTGACAACAATTACGCATTTGTGTAATTGTTTCAGATTTTTCTGAGCTATCCGTTAAAATTTTTTTTCTCGTCATTCCAAAAAGCGATGTCAAATAACGTAAAGAAAGGTCTCATTTCCGCTACTTTTCCATTGTTCCCATTTTGTTGATATAACGATAATTTAATCGCAAAATTTCCCACTAGGGACCGTAAAGTATTATCTATCTCCCCTTATCTTCCTTAAAATGTTTTTTTGTTTGTTTTTGTTGTTGTTGCTATTTCCACGTAACGTGGCAGAGCCAGTAATAATGAGCATTTTGTACAGCGCAAATTCCCCCTCAACAGCAAGCTCTATGCGCTTTACAATCTATAATGTTATTCTGTTATTATAACCCCAGCAGACCTGATAGCATTCTGAAACCATCTGAACTTCCTGGGAAGCACACAGTAATCATAATTATTTGCAATACTTACATTTGGATAACGCCCATGAGACATTCATATGACGATTGAAAAAAAAAGGAAAACGCGAACCGTTTGAGAACCGTAAGAAGCGGCTGGCTGTTAGGACTTGAAGTTGATGTGGAATATCAGCTCGCCCATGACCCGCCCCCCTCTTTTATATGGACACTGGTCGCAAAGTTCCGAGGCGGCTGGCTCTCTGCAGGAGCAATTATTTGCTGACGGTGGCTAATAATATTTTGTGACCGAATTTTTCTCCTCTTATCCTCTCGCAATTTTTCTGTTCTGTTCTGTTCTTTTCTTCTTTTTATCCGGTGCATGCAGTAAACAACATTCTTGAAAGAAGAGGAGGGGTGGGGGTGGAGTAAGCGAATACATGAGAGGGAAAAAAAGAGAGGGGGGAATAGGGTAG